CTCTCTCTGAACTATATAATTTGCTAATCTTTAACTATTTAACTAGCATTGCTAATAATCACCACAATGTTGTTATTTCAATTATATATATTCAACAAACACACAGAAGTATATTTGGAGACCCTTATTATTCATTCTCTTATACATTCAACTAGTCCAATGAATTATCGTAAAGTGACGTCATTATTTCAGTTTTTCATTTCCTCAATTAATATAAAGAATTATCCTTGAGTTATGTCGTTATTCAACCAATTGTATATTCCAATAACGTGAAGAATTGTTTGGCCTGACGCCATTATTCACTTAATTTTATATTCAAATAATACAAAGAATTATCATAGATTGACGCCGTTATTTTAATCCATTATATGCTCATCTATCGCAAACAGTTGTCTTATATTGACGTCATTATTTCAATTCCTTTCATATTTATGTGTGGCAGAGAGAATCGATTAGAGCATTCTCATTTTAGTGGTTCTTAATAAGGACGTAAAATTCACGAAAGTAGCTTTCAGAACAATCTATAAAAGTATTGTACAGTATTTTGCACGACATATATAGTCCAGTCGACTTGGTATCTTGTGGCGAGGAACGTTCTAAAGCCACACAGTACATAAATATTATTTTCTCTTTTTTTATAATAAACCAGAACTGCACAAAGTCGTCGTATACTTTGTTTGATCAACAATTTGTTATTCTGTTATTAACTGTTAATTTGTTATTCTGTTATTAACTGTTAATTTGTTATTCTGTTATTAACTGTTAATTTGTTATTCTGTTATTAACTGTTAATTTGTTATTCTGTTATTAACTGTTAATTTGTTATTCTATTACGTTTCAACAATGATATATTATCATCTTATTTCACAAAATAGTAACTGCTATTTAAGCATAAAGAAAACGTTATCCATGCAACAATGTTTTCAAACGTTTTAATAACTACTAAGATGTACATTCGCCCGAGGAGGAAACTGTACTAACAGTGTCCATGACGTTTTTATTTCAAAACGTTTTAAGAAACAACCTAAGTAATTCGGCGTTGAATTTCAAATTATTTCATTTTACACTTTGAACTCGAAGTGCTTTGATTTTTATTTCGAAATGCACTTTCGTTGGTTGTCATTAATCTTTGGTGAAATATTTGTTGTATGTTGATAAACCCTTCGCATTGATCAGTGAGTGGTCCAAATACTGCACTATCTACTATGCACTGTATTACACATGAGTCTGTCATTTAAAAAAAATAAAGGAATAATTCGAAACAGTTAAAGAAAAAAATATTGATTGATAGATGAGTAGAGAGCTAGTTTTTTATAGATGGATGAATGGATAAGCATGTGGTTAGACAGACAGACAGGCAGCTGGTTAGGTAAATAGCAAGAGAGAAAAGTATCGTTTAATATCATAAAGGTAGTAGACTTAGAGAGGGGTTTCCCGTAATTTATCGATGAGAGTTTTACTTGGAAAGTTTATTTGTACAATACGACAAACACGAAAGTATCACGTAGAAACAACGTTATATATTTCGTAGATTTTGTCAATATTGTGCTTTATGAATACTCTAGAATAACAGATGAAATACTATTTGACAAATGACCCTCGAGAAGGCAGACGCCATTTGAAGCGGTACAAATAATTCACGACGTGCGTGATGACTTCTTGCCACGCCAATAGTTTGTTAATATTCCAGCTCGGTGACAACGTGAGGCTTGCAATATACCGAAAATACGGAGAACAGCAGCGATGGGAACGTGAAATATCGTGATGCATTTTTAATCAACCAGCGACCCGTCTCAACTGAGTGCTTTATAATGCATGAACGTTCAAAATTCAGGGAGTCGCGTGACGTCGTAGAATCTGTACACATAGCGTACCCTGATGTAAAGTGCAGTTATGTGAAGCTTGTTCCTATGGACGAGGAGATTGTATAGCAGTATATATATATATATAAAGAAAGGCTACCACACATGAAATATATATGTTAAGGGCCTGGGGACGCCTGAATGATGCTTGAAATTCGATCCTCCTACCTGTTAGTCGTCTGCATAACTAACAATCTTTAAGTGTAATTTGAATAGTTACTTCTGCTTATTACACTATGTAACAGGGGGCGAATTAAACATAGGTTGTCAATGTGATTTATAAGCAGGAGAGTATTACAATCAAAAACTTGTATAATGTCATGCCATGACATTAATTTCCCTGAAACCAGTTAATGTGTATGATGATTTTGCACTGGGATTAAACCATGCTCGGCTTGACCGAAGGCCAGTGCTCAGTAGACTAAAACTATACATTATTAGACAGTGAAACAAAAATGGATTAACTCTGGTCCACCATTGCTGTACCGGAACTCGATTCTAAGTAAATATGATCCAAATTACTTCTTGATCCGTAAAAGGTTTTAAAGCAGAAGTTGAATCACATACGACATCGACGACGAAGTTCAAATTGAGACTATGTATCACCTTAATTCATTTCTAAAAAGACTTTCTAGAAATTCATTCAATATATCATTAAAAGACAACATAAAATGTTAGATTAATTATGAAAATAAATATGAAAGATAATTCAAGGAACAAGAAAATTTCAAGTATTTCATTAAGTTAGGAATCCATGGATTAACTATCTAATCCGAGGGTTGAAAGAGGGCGCTGACTCACATCTGCAGATCGCTGGTTCGAATCCCATCACCGAACATGCTCGCCCCATCAGCCATGGGATGAGCTTATAACGTAACGGTCAATACCACTATTCGATTAGAGTGGTTCATAAGCTGTCGATGGGTGGTGCTGACTAGCTGCTTTATCTGTAGTCTATGACTTCAATATTAGGGACGTCTATAGCGCAGATAGAACTCGAGTAGGTTTGCGTGAATGTGAATATAAACAACAACAAAACACACTTCAAACTATATCAATAAAGTGTTGAGTTTATCGAGCTGTTGAAACGGAATTAATGAATTAATGAAGTTTCATCGTATTGAGAACTACATGTCGGGGAATTAATAAGCTTATGAAATATTTAAAACTATTTATTAAACTTTTTATGAACTCATCATGCGCTTGAAAATATCAATGAAATGGGGTTTTTATCAGGTGTAACAATATATATATGAAGGCCGTGATGATCTTATCAGGCATTGGTAATTATACCAAGGAAGTTATGAACGTTTCAGGAAGTATCAATAAAATTGTAATTTTATCAG